TAAATGTAATATATAAAACTTGTATATAAGTGGATTCCTATTCATATATATAAGAATACTGCATATTAGTTCTAATTTTCAAAAAAATTAGAGTTCCAATTTATATTCGAAAATCAAAATTTAAAAATTCAACTTATTAAATATTAATATCTAGATTTGGAAACCGATTATGTTTTCTAATATAATTGGTTTTTAAAATTAGATATCAATATTTAATATGATAAATTTTTAAATTCTAAATTAACTTTTAATTAAACAAGTTTGGGTTTGGGGAAAAAAAAAAATCAGCAATTCATTCTTCAAAGTTCAATCCCATTCGATTCAATCATTTCAATTTTTTATACTAATTTGCCAAAATTTTGTTCCTCCTATTTCTCAGAAACACCAAAAAATGAATAATTTTATTTTCTCTCTAGTTGCAACAAGGGATAGAAAACTGGTACAAAACTTGATTGTTGCAATGTTCGTTGTTGGACGGAGCTGAGTTTTAGTGTAGTGAGTTGTCAAATGCTAGAAAATAAATAATAAAAAAAAAAGAGTGAGAGAAGTAGAGAGAGAGAGAGAAGAGACCCAAACGGACACCGATCATGGGACAGACAGTCGGCATGGAACTGGAAGCTTGGCGGATGCAGTCGTAGTAGATACCAGAGGAATAGGGAATCGGCTGAGTGGGGGAAAGCAAGGAATGATCAAAACCAGGGTCGAAAATTGCAGAGAGAGGGGCCTTATAACTGGGGTTTATACAAACAAGCAACCCCTTTTTTCTTTACCAACTGTCTAGACGATTGGAGTTATGAAGAAATGTGGAGCACGTTTTTGAAGTTTGGTAGAGTTTTTGATATCTATTCGCCAAATAGAAGAAGCAGGAATGGAAGTAGATTCGGCTTTGTGAGATTTCTAGGGGTGACTGACAAGAAGGAAATGGAAAGGAAGTTGAATTAGATTTGGGTTAGAGGCCGGAAAGTGTGGGTGAACATGCCAAGGTTCAATTCTAAGAAGAAGGAAGTTGGGGTAAAAAGAAAATATAACGGAAGGATGGCAAATGTTCAGAGTAAAAGTTATGCTGAGGTGGTAAAAGGATCACAAGAGAAGGAGATGGCAGCGGATCAAAGCATTCAGAGAATGGTTGATCGTGGCAGAGATAGAAGTACTGTCAAAGAAGCTAAGATGCATGCAGGGCATGACTTGCAAAGGAGATACAGAGATAGAAGTAGACACGATCTTCGGCAATCCGGAAATAGGAGAGTGTGGAAAGAAAAAGGAAGAGGAGACAGCTGGGCTGGTATGGAGTTCAACATCAAACTGGAAGAGTATGTGTGGCTCGAAGGCAGCTACGTTGGAATAGTGCACTCTGTGGAGATGGTACGCAACCTACAAGAAAAATTCTATATGGAGGGGTATTTTTCTTGTCAAATCCGAGCAATGGGAGGCAAAATGGTTCTGTTATCTAGACAGGATAAAGAGGAAGTGAAGGATTTAGTTGAAATGGCATCGGAGTGGCTGGGGCGTTGGTTTGAAGAAGTGAGGCCATGGACACCACAGATGACAGCAAAAGAGAGATTTGTGTGGATAAGGTGTCAAGGAGCACCATTGAATGTCTGGGGAAGTGAATTCTTTTCAACCATGGGTAGTTCATGGGGCAAATTTATCTGCTTGGATGATAGTACAAGCAAGAAGGTAAGGTTTGACATTGCTAGATTTCTGATTTCTTCTTCAGTTATGGAGACAATCAATGTTACAAGGGAAATCAAAATCAATGGAAGTTTATTCAAGCTGAAATTCACAGAGGAGGAATCCATTAATAGCTTCTTCTCTTTGAAACAAGATTTTATGCCTTCCTTTAGTAGTGAATTTGAAGATCATGAAACATGGTCCATCGGAACAGAATCGGAGATGCAAGACGAGGAAGATGGAAGGAGGAAGGAGAAGGTTTCAGCCGGTTGTTCAACCGAAGAAGATGATGACGTAATAGGACGTAAGAGAGATGAAGAAAGAAGAAATGAAGTTCAATCTAGGAGGAAAGAAGGGGATATTGAAGAAACCGTTGGTGACAACTTGGAGAAAATTCAAATTTCAAATGTAAGTGAAAGAAGCAGGCGGACAAAGGACGTGGCTACAGGTCAGATGGTGCAGGCCATTGTTTCGGTAATTGGAGAATCAAAAACAGAAGATTATACTGACAAAATGAAGCCCAACAACCAAACGGTAACCAGGCCCACTTTGAAGGGAGAAAACCCAAAGGCAATGGAGTCCACAAATGTGGAAATGGCCCAAAAAGAAACTATAATAGAGACCCCAATTACAGACCAAAACAGAGACAAGTCTGGAACCGAAAAATCTGCAGAAGAGAGGGGCGATGAAGAAGAAGATGCATTTTGGAAAGGTCACGAATCAGAGAGAAGCCGAATAGAAGAGTGGATCGGGAAACAGCTGGAGGAGATTAACTCAAAAAATGGTAGAAGGAAGGTCAGAAGGTGTAGCTCGGTGTATTCCAAACCTAGAAATAGAGAGGCTTCGGTGGAAAAAAAAAAAGAGGAAGAAAGAAGAAGATCGCGCAGTAGATGGAGAAGAGAACAAAACTAATCTTCATGCCGAACTAGGAGGGGAAGGTTGCTGGAGATTCAATAGGGGATAGTGAGATAAATAATTGCAACAGGGCGTTGAAGAAATAATGGCAATCCCAACTTGCAAAGGAGATATGGGACTTGGCGACGCAGTTAGGGGCGGTGGCGGAGAATGACAATGAGGTGATTCAACGAATTGAGGAAATGGAGGACAGAGATCGAAGATCAAAAAGGAGTATGGTAAACCGAGAGGTTGAAGCCGGTGGGAAGGTATGTGAAGCACCCAATGTTAATTATGTCATTTAATATTAGGGGGCTTGGAGGGGTAGGGAAGAAATCACAGATTAGGGAGTTAGTTGTCAAAGAAAAAGTTCAATTTTTAGCGGTTCAAGAAACCAAAATGGATGCAGTTGATAGGAAAATATGTAGATCTTTATGGGGGTCTGAGGATATGGATTGGGTTGCTAAGCCTTCTAATGGAATGTCTGGAGGGTTGATATGTATTTGGGACACTAAAATGTTGAAGAAGAAAGAGACTATAGAAGGAGAAAATTTTTTAGGGGTGTTTGGACTGTGGGGACTAGAGGAGACACCGGTGTTCATAATAAACATTTATTCTCCGTGTCAAATTACAAAAAAAAGGGCATTATGGGAGGAGCTGCAAGGTCTAATTATTAATAGAAGGGGGATGTGGTGCTTAACAGGGGATTTTAACGCTGTAAGAAGGGTTGAGGAAAGAGCAGGTTGTAAGATGGTGTCCAATGAAATGAGGGAGTTTGATGCTTTTATCCACAACAGTGAGCTGGTTTATTTGCCTTTGATAGGGAGAAAATATACTTGGTATAATTCAAATGGGAATCAAATGAGTAGGATTGATAGATTTCTGTTTTCAGAAGAATGGATATCAAAGTGGAGCGATTTGAAACAGTCGGGATTGAGGAGGAATGTATCAGATCACTGCCCTATAATGATAAAAAATGAGCAAGTCGACTGGGGTCCAAAACCGTTCAGATTTTTTGATGCTTGGTTGGACCAACCGGGATGCAAGGAGGTGATTAAGAGTGCATGGTGTGACAACGAGGTGGACGGATGGTATGGATTTAAAATTAAAGAAAAGATGAAAAGAACAAAGAAGGCACTAAAGGAGTGGAGTGGCAAAACCAACAGGGAGATGGTTGAAAGAATAAGGAATGCAGAGTTAGTGATCGCTTCTGTTGATGAGAAAGGAGAGCAGCACCAGTTGTCAGATAATGACGTAGAATTGAGGAGGAATAGTTTTATTGAATTGTGGAAGAATTTAAAAATCAAGGAGAGGATGAGTCAACAAAAATCAAGAAAGCAGTGGCTGAAGGAAGGTGACGCAAACAAAAAATTCTTTCACAGAAGCATCAAGGGAAGATGGAGCAAGAATGAGATTAATAGTGTCCGGATAAATGGGGAGCAGCATACAGGAGTGGAGGTATTAAAGAGAGAGATTGCTAAATACTTCCAAGATTTGTTCACAGAAGAAAAATGGAGGAGACCAAAGCTAGATGGAATATGCTTTAGGCAAATCACAAAGGCTGATAATGAGTTTCTCACGGCTGCTTTTACGGAACAGGAAATTAAAGAAGCAATATGGAACTGTGACCCTTCCAAATCCCCAGGACTAGACGGATTCAACTTCAGATTTATCATATCAATGTGGGATGTTATAAAAGCTGATATTGTCAACTTTGTGCGGGAGTTCCATCAGCATGGTAGACTGGTCAAAGGGTCAAATGCTTCCTTCATTGTGTTAATTCCAAAAACCGAAAATCCACAAGCAATTGAGGAATATAGGCCAATTTCCTTGATAGGAGTCACATACAAAATCATTGCAAAGCTTCTAGCAAATCGCTTGCAGAAGGTGCTGCCCAAGGTGATTGGGGAGCAGCAGATGGCTTTTATCGAAGGAAGGCATTTAGTGGACGGTGCAGTGATTGCAAATGAGATTATGGATGGAGTTAAGAGGAAAAAGAAGAAGGGATTTCTATTTAAAGTCGACTTCGAGAAAGCCTACGACAAGGTATGCTGGGAATTCATAGAATATATGATGATGAGGATGGGATTCTATGCAACATGGAGGAAATGGATCCAAGAGTGCTTGGAATCGAGCTCGGTGTCTATTCTTGTCAATGGCAGTCCGACGAACCAATTCCCGGTTAATAAAGGCATTCGCCAAGGAGATCCATTATCCCCGTTCTTATTCTTGATAGTGGCAGAGGGATTGAATGGACTACTGGCATCGGAAGTGGAGAAGGGGAGGTACAAAGGAGTGGAAGTTGGGAGCGGAGATGTAATGGTCATGCATCTTCAATTCGCGGACGACACAATCTTCTTTGGAGATGCAACGGAAGACAACATATGGGTGATCAAATGTATTATGAGGACATTTGAGTTAGCCTCGGGATTGAAGATTAATTTTAGGAAGAGCCAGTTGATTGGTGTGGGAGCTGATCAAAATTGGTGTGCTAAAATGGCATTTCAGTTGTGCTGTAAGGAAGGGAAACTGCCATTTAGGTATTTGGGAATACCAATCGGAGGGAATCACAGAAGAAGAGCTATGTGGCAGCCAATGGTGGAGTCTGTTAGAAAGAAGCTAGCCGCTGGAGAGGATGGTATCTATCTATGGGAGGCCACATCACACTTATCAATTCAGTGCTGTCAAGTCTGCCAGTATTTTTGATGTCTACCTATGTTATCCCAAAAGGTATAATCCATTCCATTGATAAGTTGCGTAGAAGTTTTTTATGGGGGGGGG